ATACAGAATTTCAAAAAAACATAGTAAAAATCACTAGTTGATAGATTACATATTGTCATCTTAGAAGTTGCTGTTCATGTTACAAAATTAAAGCATACAAAGTGGACATTTAAACAGTGAGACTGCAAACAGTTCTACTCAATGATCCAACAAAAACTTAGTAATATGGTTATCTGTCTTACACACTTAAACATGTATATGGTTATATCCTTTAGAGCACTTTCTTTTCCTCTCTTTTTGTAATAATAATTACACATTTTGATTTTATTACTCCTCCAGTTCTTATTACTTTGTTTGAAGAGAATAAAACCAAATGTGACAAAGCAAAATGCAGTCAGTTAAAACAATAGACATAGTATATGATTTAAAAACAAAATACAAGGTGATCAACAATGGCTACTAAAATGCCTCTTGCTATCTTCAAAAGAATTGCCCATATCTTAAAGAGGGTAAGATTAAACATACCAAAACACAACAAAACAGATCATAAGGAAACAATTTTAAGAAACACTGATTTCAAAGCAAGTCCACAGGAGATCTTCACTGTATGTCTTATTGTCTCTAGTTTTCTTCTAAATAGTTTCTTCACACACAGTGAATACATACTGAACGTTATAGAACTAATCTGATCATAACAGGGTGATGAAGGCTTTTTAGGTCTTTAAGACCTAATATTGGGGAAGTCAATAGTGACCGCCATAATGTCCCTCATTTTCTTCATAGTAGCTGTCTTTATCTTTATGTACGCTGAAATTGAACATCAGAGACTAGACTAATATCACTCTGAATAGTGAATAATAGTTTTGCTAGATTTTATATCATAATGTTACCGAATTAGCACTGGGTTTCTTAGTGTCTCTTCTTCAGAGTATCTGTTCATTACATCATGCATTATATAATCTGTTCCTGTAAACTGTTTAGAAATTCTCCCCATGTGTGAATCTCTACATGTATATCTATCTTTTCTGTATTATAAGGAAAAACAGATCATAATCTATCAACTAGTGATTCTTTACTATGTTTTCTCTCTCTAGATCATAATGAGACAAAAAAATGAATTCTTAGAAAAACATGAAATGAAAAAGACAATTAAACCACAATATTATGTGATCGTAATTGAATGTAGCATTACATAGCTATTTTAATAAAAACACAACTTTGGAGACAATGTAGGATTTCAAAAGCAGTTAATAATCAAACTGGAATGAATACCTTCTTACATCTTGTCATCTTCAGAGTAGTTGCCTTTACTCTTAGACTTGATACTATCAAGCATACTAAATTCGAATAAAATCAGTCAAGGCAAAACAGCAGTTTAACAAACCAGCTTCAAATAAGATCAGTCATAGTAAGACAATGTAGGTAATGCAGGGCTTCAGTTTAAGTTAGTAGGAAATTAAGGATAGTTACCGTAGTGTAGCCTGCTATGTTTGGGATAGCTGTCTGTGCCCTCAAATCTAGTATGAGTAGACAGACTGGAACAAAATAAAATCAAACAGAGCGATAAGACTAATGTGGCTTTTAAATCCTGATACGCTATTAACAATGTCCTCTGCCTTCCTTTTTCAGGCAATTCCTCACCTTTCCCTTTCTCAGGATGCTTTGCATATTTTGGGTCCCAACTAGCTCCTTTAGTTTTTAGATTAAGGAGGCCAACCTGTCATCTATCTGAGTGGTGCTGAACCTTTTTACCCCTGAGCTTGATCTTGAGCTATATTCCTTTACCTACTAAAACCTCAAGGTTTTCCTTCCTTCTAGCTGTGTAGTTCTCCACTGCACAAAAGTGTCATAACTTTCCAACCTATCTGCAGCTGCTGGACGAGTTGTCCCTATTTCTCTCTGGTTCCCTTTCACTTAGAGCTTCATTTTCTCGTCTTTGACTTTCAGTGTGAGTATATTTACTATCTTCTTTCAGGTTGAATATATCTCCTATTCAGAGCATCTCGATGGATCCTGCCTCCTAATCTACTCTGCCTGTGTTTCCTTTTGTTAGTGTATCTAGCCTATCTATGTTAAAAATTATAGCCCATCTTCTCTGCCTCATCTCTGCTATTCTATTTTTCTGCTATTATTTGTCCATTTTTCTCCTTCATTCCACTGTCCTCCTTGTTCATTGAGGCCTCTCAGCCACTGTTGCTGGAATCCTGGTATTTTTTTTCTCTTTCTCTCTCTAGAATATTCTTCAGTATTTTCTGTAGGTTTGGGTTGATGGCCATGAACTCCCACAGTTTCTCCATTAATTTTGAGAGAGAGATTTTCAGAATACAGTAATCTTGGGTGGAGGTTATTTTCTTTCAGGGCTTGGACTATTTTCCCTCAGGCTCTTCTTGATTTAATAGTTTGTGTTGATAAATCTGTCATTATTTTGATGATTTGTCCATTGTAGGTGATCTGCTTCTTTTCTCTGGCCGCTTTTAATATTCTGTTCTTGTAGTGGATTTCTGGAATCTTGATTATTATATGCCTGGGTGTAGATCTGTTTTGGTTGTAGGTGACTGGATTTCTGTACACCTCATTTATCTGGATATCATTTCTTTTTCCTACACTTGGGAAGTTTTCCTTAATTATTTCTGTGAATAGTCTTTATAATTCGTTTGTGGTTACTCCTGCTTCTTTGCTTACATTTTTTATTTTTAAGTTATAGATCCTTTTGCTGTTTTCTAGCCTTTGAATTGTTATTTCTTGGTTCCTTGTTATTTTTAATAGGTCTTTTCTTTCACGATCACACATTGTAAATCTCTCTTCAAATTTCGAAAGGCTAACTTTAGTTTCTGTCAAGGCATTTTGCCAGCTTTCAGTGGAGTTTTTAGTTTCCTGGTAATCTCTTTGGATCTGTTTCATGTATTCTAGATTTTGTTTATGTTCTTCACCAAAGGTTTCTCTTCCTTTTCTGAGTTCCTTCCTTCTTCCGTGTTCTCTTGAGAGGAGCTTAGCATTTCTTTAATTAACCTTTTTATTTCTTGTCTTACTTGGTTTAGAATTTCAGTTTTAAGTTAATCTATGAAGTCACAAATGTATTTCTTTATATCTGCTGATGTTGTGGCTAACATTGCATGATTGCTGCACTGGTTCTCTTCTGTATTTACCTCTTCTGGGCTTATTTTCCCAAGGTCAGCGGCTGGAGGTTTTCTCTTATCTTTGCTCTTATCATGTTTCTGGTTTCTTTCAGAAGGTGTGTGGAGGAGGTCTCAGGCCGTCTCTGTATTACTTACAGTTTTTCTAAAGCATGCTGGCTGGGGCTTGCTGCTGTCTCCAGTTTGCTGATATCTTAGGTGGTGCTCAGGGATGCTGCGGGCTGGCCCCTCCCCTCTGAGGCAGTCAACCTGCAAGTGCCTTCAGCACTTTACCCTGTGCTGTGGCAGATGTCACAGGGTCAGAACAATTTTGTTCCTGGCTATTGGTTCCTGACCAGGGGTGTGGTTCAGCCCAAGCTGCTCCCACCAGTCCTCTCTGGGCCAGGGGGGGTTGACTGATGCCACCGTGGTGCCAGGCTCTGCCCTACTCCAAGATGTCTTCCAGTCAGCCACCTATGCCAGCGGACCCAATTTCCAGCACTCACCGAGAGCCAATAAAGCTCTCTACCTTGGCTCCACACTGTGCCACATCCTCCCGCCAAGGGCCCGGGACTCACCCACTGCCATTATCGGCAGCTGTGGCTTCAGCATGACCTTGAATCATCTGACTCTACCGGGCGCCCAGTACAGCACAGAATGGGTCTCAGTGACAGTGTCAGGCTTCAGCCCTCCATCCACACTTTTCCTTCCTCATCCTAATTTTATTTTTCTTTCAATTTCCTCCTGGGTTAGTGAGACTCATTCTCCAATCATCTGACCCTCTCCATGTTGTCAGATTCTAGCATCTGGGCTGTTTTCCCCAGAGAGGTTCTCTATCCAGCTTCCTAGCAAGCACCATTTTTTCTTCTGTCCCACCTTTTTCCTTCTTAACAGCTTTTGATCTTCTTTCGGGCCGGACTCCACCTCTCTCTCCACCATGTTGGGCCCACTTGGAACCGCAGCCACTCCCAGCACGGTGGTGGTGGCACCTCTCGGCCCCCGCCCAAGCCTGCAGACAGGGCTGGCTCGATGCAGCTTTCCCCACCCGACTGGGCCTGGCCCGGAGTAAAGAGGGGCGGATGGCTCACGCCTGGTCACAGGGTCCCATGAGTGTGCATGTGGGCGGCAGGGCCTGCCCGGGAGAGGGGGGCCGGGACTCTGGGGGGTTAATGGCCTCCAAGGGGCCCCATGAGTTAGCTGGCATTCTTCACAAGATTTTCAAATCTCATGTATTGGACCCAAACTAGAGGTGTCTCAGTGGTTCTTTGACCTTTTGCGTAGAAGCAGTGCACATTTTAGTCTGCGTTTCTTTCTGTCGATGTTCACCCAGGTCGGACACGTGGTCCCTCCCTCCCTCCCTGCCGTTCTCCTTCCCAACCTGAGCTGCCCTGGGGAAATCTTACCTGCCCTCCTTTCTGTCGGGAGTGGGCCTGGGCTGTTGGGAAGAGGACAGTGTTGTCGGGAAGGGTGGACCCTGCAGAGGATTTCAAACACCACCACCTTGCTCCCTCTTTTTTCCCCCTAGCTCTCTGAAGTCACTGCCCACTTGGAATGGGTGTACTGTAGGAAATGCAAATGTGGGGTCTCCGGGAGACACTTGACAGGGAGCTGTATTCTAGACTTGAGTCCTGATTTACCAGATGGGCTCTCCTGTATTAGAAGGGGGATTACACAGCGACAAGGGAAAACAAATGCCTTGCAATATCAGGAAAATTACTGGTTAACTAAGACTGCTTTGTAAACTTTGCTCCTTATTTTCCCATGTGCGAGTCTATATAAAGTAGGTAACTGTGGTCATTAGAATAAAGCTCAAGCTTTCTACGTTAAAAGAACATTTCATGGGGCTTTGTATTGTGCGCACTCACTGGTTTAGAAGTGGCTTAGGCCTCATGTCCACTGAACCCGAGGATGGCATTGATAATTTTCCTTTTTCTCTTTGTGCTTTAGATGACACCGCCCAGGTGTGGAGTGTTGAAATTGAATCTGTTTTGGATGTTATCAGCTCAAAGCCAGTTGGCGGTCAGGTGGTCGTGGCCATCCCTAAACTGCAGATACAGCAGGCATACAGCCTTAAGCTCCAGCCCGGGGAGAGGGTTGTTGAGCTGTCTGTGAAAATTAACAAGGTGAGTGCCAGGACTTTCTGAGACCCAGGAGGAAAGTCACAACTGTTCAAAGAAAGATAGGACTTTGTATGAAAGTCCATCTCATTTTTTTCTCTATTTTTAACCTCTCGTATAATTGTGGGAGAATAAACTTTAAAGAATGAGTTTCTCAATTTTTTTGGTGGAGGGAGGTTTGACATAATCTTACTATGCAGTTCAGACTGGCCTTAAACTCATAGTGATCCTCCTGCCTCAGCCTCTTGAGTGCTGGGATCATGGGTATGTATTACAATGCCTGATACAATTTTCCCAAATGTTAAAAGAAAATGGAAAAAAAAAAAGGAAAAAATGTGACTAATTTGGAAACCTTTCCTCTCTCAAGAGGTTGGTAATACTGTATTTTTTTCTGTTGTGCTTGTGGTACCCTAAATCCAATATACATGCTATGCATTATAGTTAAGTGCAGTGATTACTTTGCTACTGGTCTGTTATTTTGAGTATTGGTGCTGTTGCCTGAATTTCTGGAGAGATATAAAAGAAATGTCTGCCTCCAGATGGGGAGGGATGACAGTCCAGAGAATGACTTGGACAGGACAGTGAGCAGCTGTCTGTCAGGGAGACTTAGGGAGCAGTGTACTACCAAAGTTACTGAGCCTTCCTTGGTAAGCTGTTGGTTTTCTAGGGCACTGATTAAAACAGCAGAAGTGGGAACAGAGGCAGAGGGGTCCTGGGAAAGTGGTGTCCTCCACTCAAGGCCAGTCCTTATCAGAAACTCGACCTGTCCCAGCCAGCACTTGTGCTGCAGTCTGGAGCTGAGCCTTGTCCCCTAGCAGAGTCACTAAAGACAGAGTGACCTTAGCTCTCAGGGGACAGGTCTCATGGGAGGTGCACACTCTCCATGTGGATTATGATTCCAAATTCCTGAGCTTTTATGGATGGAGCTAGAATGGGATTTATTCCTGCAAATTTTCCCCTAGCCACTATCTCTAACCCTAATCCTAGTCCTCCCCAGGCCTCTGGTCTCTAAACCCTGACCCCTAACCCTAGGCCTTAAATCCTAGCCCTAAGCCCTACCCCTACCTCTAACCCTGAACCTCTCCCAGCTTTGCTGTTCTTTGGTTGTAATTGCAAACTGAGAAGGATGGGGTGGATACCATTCAGTGACTGCCCTGATAGAGTTAGAGCTCCACAGCTTTTTCAGGGTACTTGGAAAGAAGAGCCAACCTTAGAGTCTTACTCCACGTGGAATCAATGCAAGTGTGGGAGTCAGGGAGAGGAAGAGTTGTCTTGGTGCCTGTCTGTCCTGTTCTGTTCTTCGCTGTCCTCTTTGTGTCTTAATGTGGGCCAAGCTCTGGGCATGTTGATTTTAGGCTCTTACCAGTGGGTTGGTATGATTTGGCATAGTCAGGTAGGGAGATCTGTGCTCGTTCAAAGTGTACAGCTTTCTGTGCTTGATAATATGAGAAACTGATATAGTGCTCTAAGTCATATGGTTTTTCTGAAAATATGCTTCATTATTTCGAGTGATTTCTCTCATTTCTTAAAAGAATATTACTGTGGAAACTTGGTGGCCTAATGGACACGGGGACCAGACTGGGTACAACATGACCATTCTTTTTGAATTGGATGGAGGCTTACGTATTGAGAAATCTGCTAAGGTAAGTAATTGTCTTAGTTATGTTATACTCATTGCTGAGAGCCTGAAGCCTAAAGTTGGGAAAGGAAAGGTTTATTTCTTACAGTTTTTGGAGGTTTCAGTCCACACTCAGTTGGCTCCAAGGCAGGCGGGCATGGCATGAACTGCAGGTCATGGTGGCTGCAAACAGCAAGCGGGAACCAGCAAAGAGCAAGACACGCCTTCTTCCTGCCATTACATCACATCCTGGCTCCACCCCTATGTGGGTGGAGCACTGACACCATCCATCCAAGCACTAGACAATGAACCATCACAAATGCACAATGCAAACTCATGAGGTCTGGGGGACAGAGACATAAACCATGACAGTAATACTTGGAGTATTTTATGAGAAAATTATATTTCTTATTAAAGTGGCTGTACAGATCTTTGAAGGAAAAGAAAGCATAAAATGTATGACTCTACCACTCAGAGTTATTACATTTAAAAGCTTTCTGTGTGTACAGATTTGCATTTTTAACTGAATCAGACTTTGCATAGTATTTTGTCACATTCTCCTTTGGTACTCTCTTTCTGTTCTTTTCATGATGTTGGGGCTGATCTCAGGGACTTCCGCCTGCTATGAAAGCACCCTACCACTGAGCCACACCCCCACCTGCTGTGCTTTTAAACTGTACTTGTTTATATCCAAGCAATACATATGATAATTTTATATACATAAGATAATTTTAAAGCTCACATATTACTACAAGGCTTATATGACAAAATAGTCTCCTTTGCCCACCTTTTCCTATTTTCTACTCCCCAGAACCAAAAATTTTAACTTCTACTTATCTCTTTTGCTATTTATTGTCATTTCCTCAAATCTACTGGTGTTTACACATTGAGCTGGGGAGTAGGTGCCATCTGGCGAACGGGGATTCTTGGGTTTTAAGGAGAGACTAATGATACTAGTTTTTAACAAAGGTTGTATAGTTTAGATTGAATGAGTAGTGCTATGGTTTTGATATCTAATGATCCCCTCAAGTCTCCTGTGCTCAGAGCTGGGGCTTTTGAGAGGTGAGTGGATCACATCGTTGTTCAGTGGGTCTAGGTCCATCTATTCATGAGTTCATGGCTGATTGCCGTGAGGAGGTGGGGCCTGGCTGAAGGAGGTGGTCATTGGGTGTGACTTGGAAGAGTATTCTTGTCACCATTTCCTCCCTTCTCTTCTGCTTCCTGGCTGAGCATGGTCGAGCAGCTTTCCTCTACCTCTCACTGGGTCATTTCTATCTTGGGGCCAACTGACCATGGACTGAACCTTGTGAAATCATGAGACAAAATCAACCCAGGCGCCTGAGATTTCAGTCAGTAAGAGTGCTCTACTGAGAACTGGACTAGAGGCCATGCATTTTACATGTGGGCAGAGTTTGTTCCTGTCCTAAGACTTTGCTGAAGGCTGAGTTTAAGGGCTGTGAAGTTGATCTGGGGGAGGAAATTTCCAGGCAGCCCAGTGTTCAGGACATGGCACAAGCACTTTAACTTTCAGTCATTATAATGGAGATCAGGGACAAAAAGAAGAGCAGAAAGTTTTGAAAATCTTAAGTTTTGTGTAGAAAAGAATCATATGTAAAGCTGGAATGAAAGAGTGGTGGTTGCTGAAGAGATCGATACCATTAAAAAGAAACTAAGTCCTTTGTACAGATACAAAATGCTGCCTTGAGGACACCTCAGAAATCAACAAGACCCCACCTACTGCAACTCAGGGTGCAAAAGTGTAAAAGCTTTCATGATCCGTCCTGCGGATCGGTCCATGGGCCTCGCCTGGAGAAAGAACGGGGATGAAGGGCAGGGCAAGAGAAAAGAGAGATGGAGACAGGATGAGATTCCAATGGAGTCTCATTTATTCTTAAAATGGCTACAACTTATATAGGGTGGAGGCGGGCCAATGGGGCAGGAAGAGGGCACGGAGTGTTATCTGATAGGTCATCGTCACATCCGGATATATGACGTAAGCAGGAGAGGATTATGGGGGATGTAGGCTGAAGCGGGAAGTTGCTCACGTCATGCGCACTGTAGGCAAGGGGAGGATCATGGGAAATGTAGGTTGACACACAAAATGCCCTCAGGGGGGAGGGGCAGGGCAGCAGCAGCCGTTCTAAGCCGCTCCCTACACTTTCATGTATAGAGAGAGCTCCTGAGACTCCTGCTTGAGAAGGCTTCCTGGGGGATTGTTTCCTTGGAATTCATTTCACAGTGTTCAGTCATCTGGGTACTCAGGGGTTGCTATAGCCATGGTCCCGGGGGCCAGGCTGCTGCTTGTGTTGGCAACAGACTTTGTTGTCATCCGTATGAGCTTTGTTTTACCAGATTTTAATGGGAGGACTGTATTGCCAGTGAAGGAGAGACTCTGCCCTGGTCAAGATTGTTGTTACTAGAGTGATTTACTGAGCAATATTTTTTCTTATTTATTCATTTGACTGGAGGTGGAGATTAGATTGAATGATCTCCTGTGCCTCCCTGCAAGTCTAAAATTGCCAGTAATGAAAATCTGAATGATATAAGAATTTGAGCTCTCTGTAAGTTTCAGAATCAATATGTGGTTTTGAAATTAAGATAAAAAGTATTAGTAAAAGCCAGATTTGGTAAGAGAGAGATGATATCGTTTCCCTTTCTTTCCATCCAGGCTGGCTTTTCCAGGGCATTTTAACTGCTCCTCAGTCCTTCACTGCCAAATCTTTTCCGTTGATTTCAGATTTGCCTGAGTTCAGCCAGCAGTTGTCTGAGTCCTTGCCATCAATCTCTGCTTCCTGCCTAGGGTCTCTCAGTCTTATTTCTTTCTAGCTGTTCTCTGGTGGGAGTGTGCCAGACTGGGATTCTTTTTTTTTTTTAAGCACTGGGAATCAAACTCATGACCTTGCACTTGCCAGGTAGGTGCTGTGCCACTGAGCAATATCCCCTGGGATTCCTTTTTATGCAGTATTGATTGTGAAATATAATACACACACAGAGAAGAGAAACAGCATAAATGAAAAGCTTAATGGATTATCAGAGAGTGAATTCATAAAACCGACCTCCCAATAAAGAAGTAGACACCATCTGAACCTTGGAAGTCCCCCCGCCCTGCCGTGAACCTCCCCAGTCACTACCTCCCCCTCACCAATCTGTTATCCTTACATCTAATAGTGGTTTATTTTCACGTGTTTTTGAATTTCCTATTCATGGACCATTATGTCCATGGCACTCAGGAATGTTGTAAGTAGCAGTGGCTTGCATGTTTCCATTGTGAGGTGATATTCCATTGTCGGATAATTCCACATGTGACGTTTGGCTCTTCCATGCAGTGCTTCTGTGACCATGGGTGATGCAACCCTGATGCCAGGTGATGCCAGGGGCACACCTGCTGTCACCAGCAACTCTGCCAGTGACGGAATTGCTGGATCGTGGGGCTCATGTGCATTCAGCTGGGTACACAGTGCTCAGCTGCATCCCCTGGCATCAGCTGAGGCTCATCCTCGCTTCCACGGTCACCAACACTGGGCAGTGTGTCACAGGGGACTACAGACACCATTCCCTTGTCACCGGCTCCTCATCTTACCATTGTGACTTTTTTCTGGATGGCCTTATTTTTACCCTGGCCTTGCTTTTTGCAGAACTGTTTCTTCTTTTGTGTGCTGGAGATCAAAGCTAGGTCATTACACACGCTGGGCAAGTGTTCTACCATTGAGGTACCTCTCCAGCTGCAGAATAGTCCTATTTTTAAAATATCCCATTGAAATCGGCATTGCTTGCTTCTCTTCCACTGAGATTAGACTCACGCATTCTATTTTTCTTTGTCATGTCACAAGACAGCAGTGCATTTAGTGAAGACAAAGGCCTTTGAGGACTGGCTGCAGCTCCTGGGCCAGAAGTGTATGGATCCTAGCAAAGGCAGTGCCATGGAGACAGGAAGGGGCCGGCTGCATTTCTTCATGAACATGGAGGAATATTTTGATGACTGAAATTCTTTTCAGTGTTGAAAGAAGAATGCTATGGCTTGAATGATTGTCCCCCAGAATTCCTGTATTGGAAACTTAATCCCCAGAGTTATGTGTTACAGATATTTGGAGGTGGGGCCCCAGGGAGGTGATGAGGAGTCTCAGGATGGGCCCCGCAAGGGCATCGGTGGTGTTATGGGTAGAGTTGAGCTGGGTTGCAGCTCAGTGGTTTGCCTGGTGTGCGTGAGGCTCTGGGATTGCCCTCTGCTTCTGAGAAGAAGAAGGAAGAGAAGCAGGAGGAGAGGGGATCGAGTCCCAAGCTGGCACACTCGCCCTGTCCTCTTTTCGTAGTTCTTTAGCCACTGTCCTGTCAGTGGGGCACAGTGCTGGCATCGGCCACCTACAGGAGAGGTTTATGTGGGCTTTCGGTTCCAGTGGGTCCAGTCCACGCTTGGCTGGCTTCCAGGCAGAACTGTGAGGTGGCAACCAGTCAGGAAGCGGACGGAGGGAGGAGAGAGGACAGAGATGCACCCTGTGAGTCATGACCCCGGTGACCCTCTCCTGTTGCCCAGGCCCTCCCCTCCACCGCACAGCCCTATGTGAACTCCTCAATGGATGGACCCGCTGGTGAGCACTGCGCCCCAGGAACCAGTCAGCTTCCCACAGCCCCGCCTCGACAAATGAGCCCTCTGAAGGACATTTTAGATCCAAACCAGAACAAAGACTACATCGCTACTGTGGAGCAGTGCAGCAACTAGGTCCTCAGGGGCTCTGTGAGTGACCTGACACAAATGTGTACTCCAGAAACCCGAGTTAAATAAACCCTCTAATCTTCATGAGTTAGCTGGCTTCAGGCATTTTGTTATAGTGACAGGAAAAGGACTAACAAAGTGACTTGGGAAAATCACCAGTGCTTTAAAAATTAAAGTCACGACATCAGACATTCTGCTGACAAATCATTGCAGGCAAGAACCTTCCTGGGAGGAGACCTTGCTTTCCACTTCCGCTGACCCCTAGCATTCCTTGCTTTATAGATGCCTTGCTCGAGTCTCTGTGTTCATCATCA